CCATCTGTCAACTATAAAAGGCTGCATTGCTTGGATCCACATATAAGACAATAATGCCAACACATTACAACATCACATCACAATATCACATCGTAGGTTCTGGGGAAGAACTTGATGCAAACGAAAGCCAACACTAGCTAAAGAAGTAGCAGCTGTGATTTCACACTGTTGTGTATTTAAAAAATAAAAACTTTCCATTTTAGAGTTTTGCTGTCCCAAAAGAGGAGGATTATGAGCCATTATTGATCAAAATCAATGGTATTTTCCAAAATACCATTGGTACATTTTGCTCAAACCAACCTTAGAGATCCTTGCTACAAGATGCTTACAACCCAATGACAGCAATGAAGGAAGGGCAACAACAGATCAAAAAGGGAACAAAAGAGAAGAGTGAGGAAGTGCAATTATGCGCAAGCTTCTTTACAGTTTGGGAAAACTGGGTGAGCCTCTTTTGGATGTCCACAAGACTTTATGGAGGCTTGGTACCGATGCAAAGTGGTTAAGCCTTGGACAGACTCCGTCCTTTATGGTTTTGAAGGTTGGGCACAGATTTCTCTTGATTTAAAATCTACTTTAGAAGTTACTCTATGGCCAAATTCACACAATACCTTGTTCCCCTTCAACCCAGGTTGACAAGACATGTGCCAGGTTAAAGTTAAACAAGTAAACCATGTTTTGGCTTAACTTGGTGGCTTCCTTTCACATTAACAGATTCAGACCATAGTGAGTCACCCCCCCCCAAAAACTAACAAAATCCATTTCAGCCTAATCAAATCTCCTGCACGAATTGATTCCACATGTCTCATTCAGCTGCCCACCCCAGAGAATCCTGGAACAGGGAAATGTCCTGGGAAATTGTTTTTGTGAAGCTTTCCATCCTTGGAGCTCATGCAGATTTCAACCCCAGCATCTGACAGCTAACCTTTGGACATGGTGTGATTTACTGCTGAGGAGTTATAGAAAAATCAGCGTAACTGAGATTTAGTTGGGTTTGAGAAAGTTGAAAATGTTGACTCTCCTCTCCCAACCCTCCCTCCCCCCAAAAAAGCAAGGGGGAAGATCTTGAATACCTGGCACCTGTTCTATCCAAAACCCTATCGATGGTGGCCCTGAGTCACTGGCGAGACGAAAACAATTGCAACTTTGGATATGGCACTAAAATCTGAAATTATTGAGTCTGGTTTCCCCAAGCCACTGGCTTCTTCAAAATTAGCTTTTCCTTTTCCAGCTGCTTCTGGCCTCCTTCCAGCCACCTGTCTCTCTTCTTTGTATGTAATTAACAGTGACTCCCAATTTAATTAACAGCTCCTAGGGAGCCCCAGCTAAGCCAGCATGTAAAGTGCCATCAGACCACAGCTCTGGCCTGGTCTCCATTTATCTTCCCCCTCCCTTGTCGACAATTGCCACCAGGGGTGAGTTTCTGAAAGGGGAAGCAGGACAAGCTAACATCACCGACGCCCAAGCTGGGTCAAGCTTGTGGCTCCACTGCTGATGATGTTCAAGAGGAAGCCACTCCAGAATTGCTGTGGTTCGCCGGCAGCCTGTTCAGATGGCAGCGGAATCGGACAGTGGGGAAGAACGGGGACCAATGCAGGAGTCTGGAGAGGACTCGGATGAGGGTCCTGTGTCCAATGCAATGATGGGGCCAGGACTATCTGGGAGTGGGATTCTGACTCCGGAGCCTCTGGAGTCTGGCAGCAGCGAGGCAGAGGACCCAGGGGAGCCTGTTCCCAGTGCATGTGTGCACAGAGCTGCTAGAAGGCAAGAGCAGCTGAGACAAAAGGGGTGCCTCGGGAGTAAGGCTGGGAGGTGATTGCCCCTCCCATAAGGTATAAAGGACAGGCAAAGGTGAAGAAACCTTTGCAGGAAGCAAAGTCGTTCGTTTGGTTCAGATTCATTCTTGAAGCTCTTTGTACTTCGGTTGGTTTTTGTTTTAGTTTATTTGACACTTCTGTTATTGGCAGCACTTCACAGGGAAGGTAGGTGGGTGCTTATCTCGAGGGACGGTTTGAGATTCATTACCGGCTGGGAATGAAAACAATTCCCAGCATTGCAATAAAACACAAAGACTTGTTTTTAAAATAAGCGCGTGCACAATTATGGTCTCGGAAGCCTTGGTCAGAACAAGGATAAATGCTACGATGGGTGGGTTGGGCTTGCCCGCCAGTGAGGGACCCTTCCCCAGATCTGAGAATGAGACAACCAGGAGAAGTAGCTGGGGCTCAAAATTCTTCAGATAACCTGGTGATCAAGAGGTTTTCAAAAGTAGACCAAACTACCAGTTGACTGGGATGGAATAAGATCTCCTGCCTTAGACTAGAAGACTTCTGAGGTTCCTTCCCAGCCCTACGATTTTATGTTTTATGCTCTGTTAAGTTGGGGAATCCACATCACTTTCTAAGAGTAGAAGCCAAGGTCCCCAATTCAATTCCATGGGGGGGAAAAAATCACAGAAGGATCTCCCAATGTTTGAGATAGCCAGGAGAGACTTAAGGAGATGCAGCTTGCGCATCACTTTCCTTCCTGTTCTGTCCTCTATTTGCTGTCCTCTTCTCACCCAACCATAGCAGATTCCAGCCAACAAGGGAGAGCTTCACCCTTGAGTGGCAGCGTTACCACCATCTCTGGTATACAGAAACCAGAGATGCTAAGCATGGGCCAAATTCTGAGGGAGAAACTTCAGATTTTGATTTAAAATAGAAATAGCAACAGCACTTTAGATTTACATGCCACTTCACAGTGCTTTGACAGCCCTCTCTAAGCAGTTTATAGAGTCAGCATATTGTCCCCCAACAATCTGGCTCCTCATTTTACCGACCTCGGAAGGATGGAAGGAATGGAATCAACCTTAAGTCGGTCAGGATCGAACTGCTGGCAGTTGGCAGAGTCAGCCTGCAATGCTGCATTCTAACCAAGGCTCTGTGCAGAGGCCACTTTTTGGCTACAGGTTGGGCACCCGTGGTTGAGGGTATGGGGCAGCAGAAATTCTGTGTTCCTCTGACAAAGGGTTGGAAACAAGCAGCAAATACAATGACACACACCCATATGGTGCTGGAACACACCTCTTAATGTAAATTAAGAGCTTGGCAGGGTATGTTTTTGGCTTTCTGTTCTCAAAAGCTGACAACTGGCCAGGAGGATAACATTCTGGTTCAACCAGTACACAGGCTGGGTAGAAACACCAGGCACGTCCTCATCGTAGCTTCCCTCTCATTTCTCCCTCGTGCCAAAGAAAGTGGCAGAATCATGTATCTTACAAAAAAAAAAAAAAAAAATGGCCCAGCACCAACCATCCAGTGAGAGGATGGTATCGAAGAGAGCATCCTTTCTGTTACGGTTCTTTTCCTTCTTCTCGGTAAATAAGGAGCATCTCTAGGAGGTTCCTACTTGAGGCTCAATGATCTTGGCGCTACCATGTAATCTCTCCTGGCACCTGGCAACCTCCATGCCCCATCTGATTTCTTCCAACTGTTCATTACTTCAAAAGCCTTCGCCGGGCTGCGGGCACGCTGCAAAGTTCATTCCGCCCTGAAGCGTCACCCTCTTGGTTTCCCAGGCATTGCCTCTGGATCTTGAATCCGATACGAAGGCACTTATTTAAAAAGAACCCTGACAAGATTCAGCCGTTGAAAAGGGTTTGGTTATTATCCAGCCAGGACAGCAACAACAACAAAAAAGAGGATGGCAAAAATAAGTTGGGATTGGAAAATGCATCTGGAGATCCACCATTTTGTTTTTTTGTAGTAGAAACGTTTTGTGACTGTAGAAAGAATGCAGAGAAGAAGCAAGAAAGACTGGAGGCTAAAATGTACGAAGAACGGTTGCTGGAATTGGGTATGTGTAGTCTGATGAAAAGAAGGACTCTAGGGGAGACATGTTAGCAGTATTCTGATATTTCAGAGGCTGCCACAAAGAAGAGAGAGTCAAGCTATTCTCCAAAGCCCCTGAGGGCAGGACAAGAAGCAACGGATGGAAACTGATCAAGGAGAGAAGCAACTTAAGAACTAAGAAGGAATTTCCTGACACTTAGAACAATTATTCAGCGGAACAACTTGCCTCTGGAAGTTGTGAATTCTCCAACACTGGAAGTTTTTAAAAAGATGTTGGATAACCATTTGTCTGAAGTGGTGTAGGGTTTCCTGCCTAGGCAGGGGGCTGGACTAGAAGACCTCCAAGGTCCCTTCCAACTCTGTTAACCTAACCTACCCTATTCTATTAAAGTGAATTGAAGCGGAGGGCGCTCAATGGCAGCCCTCAAACCTGCTACCTGATGTTCTTCTTTCCTTTACCAAGCCTTTAGCTGATCCTCCTCCTCTTCTTCTTGTGCTATTTTGCCTCTCATTCATGCCTTGGGCTCCTCTTTAACTTAAAAGAAAACTTCCAAGGGAAATAATACACCTACTACCAGCACTGGGGTTGATAATACGACACTATACCAGCAATTCTAGTTCTGTCTTCTCTGAAAACTGATGCAAGCCAGGAAGGAGGGAGAAATTAAGGTCAGGGAGCCACAGGGGAAAAATTAAACTGTTAACCCAAAGCAGTAGAATTGCTTGCCTTGCTGTTCTTATTGGTAGGTGGCGCTTCCTACCAACTTACCTTTGATTAATTCAAACTTCAAAAGCTTGGATGGGACGCTTCAAAAGCTTGAATATCGTGCTTATGTAAGGTCTTTAAAAAAAAAAAAAAAACTGGGTCTGTGCCTTTAAAGAAGAAGAAGAAAAAAAAATACAGGATTCTATTCCTATCACATCTTCACCGTTTATCACCAACATTAACTTTAGAGGTGGTTCGTCATTTCTTGGGAGTAAAAACGGAGGTTTCACATCCATTTGTTCCGAAACGCCAATGTGTAATTTAAAATAGCAGAGGAAAGGAGGGAAGGGAACCACTACAAAAAACCTCCCATCGTTTTCTTCAGGTTGATAAGTATTAATTTTAGCAACTGGATTATCAGAATCTCAACAGACTTTGAGTCTCTGGGAAGACACGATACTCACCGTGGTAGGGCACTGTTTTCCTGGGCACCAAGTTCCACCAGTTGCTGACAGCAGAGCCCTCCGTGCTAAGAACCAGCGACGACGTTAAGAGAAACACCCTAAGAGCCAGCTGAGGAGCCATTCTGCTGGGGAAGGAAGATTCCCACCGTAGTCCAAGAAGAACCATCCACGCCAAACAGCCGCTGCTGCTGCTGCTACAATCCTGGGTTTTTTCCTTCCTCAATGAGTTGGCCTGGTAAGGGGGAGAAGCGAGAGGTTAGTTGGCTAAGGTTACAATGGCATCAACCACGTGCCCAGAGTCCCAGTGGGAAGGACCAGGAAGGAAGGTGGAAAGGAAGGGGGTCGCGTGGGAACAAAGGAAGCCCCGAGGAGGAGGAGGGAGTTTCCATTTGGGTACCAGTCTTCCACTCGGAGGCCGAATGGCCCTGGTGATTCAGCCAATGAGCAACAGGAAGTGGAAATTTGAGAATCCCTCTTTCCCCCCCCCCCCCCCCCAAAGCCTCACCACTCCTTGCTATCCCACACGCTCCCGTTTCCCAGATTTCACAATTTGGCTTCCTGTATATTTCTATTAAGGGAAAGCCCCCCCATTTTTCTTTTTTTAATTTACGTTTCCCAGAGAGGCTGGCCTGGATGGACAGAAGTGTCCCTGAATTGTAAGCAGCCCCTTAAACCAAAGAAACAAATGCTCCTACTCTCCTAATCTCATCATTAAAGTTACGACGAGGAGGGGTTTTGATGGGATGGAAAATGAGGGCTTCAGCGGTGGGCAATTTCCAAGGACAGAAAGGGAAAGAAGGAAATTGTTTTTCGTGTTGCTGGCAGTAGCCTCCCCCCATCACAATCTGTTGCAGTCTTATTACCTCTTAAATTTACAACCAGGAGTAAAAGGCAGCCCAATGAAGCTTTCCTGCTCGCAAAATTTATCACCACACAGGGATCCTGTGTGGTAGGCTGAACAAGACGACAAACAAACACTCATCCAGGGTCTCCAAATAAGCTTCAACAGCTGAATACAAGCCAGGTCTCCCCCCAAAATGCTGGTTCTTGCCCCCCTCAAAAAAGTGACCCCCCCCCCCAAAGCGGTGTCAGTTCCCACAACAGTTGTGGCACAACTCTTTGAAGTTGTATCAAGAGAGCGACCATCTCATGCAACTCTTTCCCTAAAGAGTTAAGTCAAGCAGCAACAACAAAAAAAAAAAAAAAAAAAAACCAGCATCTTCCACAATAAATGTTTTGTGAATGAGGAACCAAAAACACAGAAACAAACTGCCTAACCTCAGCATCAATAGCTCAGCTTCTCCCAAATTGATGTTCTCCAAACCTCCTGGATTATAAAGCTGACGATTCTCAGATTTCTCTTCGAAGAGGTTTGAGCATCGTTAAGATTAATGAAAAAGATAGACCGACCCAGTACGAGTGCAATAAATTTATCGGCCAGTGGATACCTGCACACAGGATTGCAAAAGCTAGTTCTACAGTCTAACCAGATTTTAGTCATTCGGGATAAATATCAAGCCCGCTATAGAGTCATTGATATGCATGCATGCGCAGCTTTTAAAATATGGCTTCAACGATGCTCAGGAATAAGCAAGTGGCGGGGGGGGGGGAGTTTTTTAGGAGGAAAGTGTGCTGTCATGCTCCTGTTGGAGTCTGAATCCGAGAAGGAAGATGAACAGCTGACAGGGAGTGTGAGTGTGGCTCAGTTGGCTGTGGAGGAAACTGGGGAAGGGCAAAGTCTGGCTGGGCAGAGCAAGTGGAGAGGTTGAACAAGGGAGAGGGAGTTCAGAGGAAGACCCAGGCCCAACCCCTCTTCATCCTAGGGCATGCAGGGAGGAAGGGAGAAGGGAGCAATGTGGGTTGCGTGGCTTACAGGGGAGGAAAGGGCCCTGATTCCCTTCATTAGCCACAGCTGGGAATGAAAGTTTAAATAACTGAATGCTGACTGTGGCAGCTGCTGGGAACAAGCATGAGTTTATCTTACGTTGACTTTGGCGATTTGTGTTCCTGGTGTCTTCCCTACTGTGTTGAGTTTCATGCCTGGAATTATTGCGCCTGCCCTGCCAGATTAATTATCTCATCTTGCCTTAATTGGACTTTAAGTTACAGTTTGTGTTGACCATGTTTTGGACTCAATTTTCTGCAGCCAAAGGCTGTTCCTGGGAGAGTTTTTTTCTCCAGCCCAGAAGGTAACCAGGACATTGGGGGCAAAGTTGGAGCTAATAAAGGGACTCCTACTGATTATCTGTGTTGCCTTTGTGCCACGCCCCTTTGGGTCATCACAGGAGCATGAAACAGGAAAAAAAATTGGTCCATTTCAGACTCAAAACAACCTGCTTTATACTGGAGGCTCTGCCAAACTATTCTGGTTCTGCACAAATAGGGATTGTCCTTGATTTACGACAGTTGAGCCCCAATTTTTTTGTTGCTAAACAAGACAGTTACATGAGTTTTGTCCCATTTTATGACCTTTCTTGGCACTGTTAAGCGAGTCACTGCAGCTGTTAAATTAGTAACATGGTTGTTGAGCGAATCCGGCTCTCCCCTCTTGACTTAGCTTGATGGAAGGTCGCAAAAGAGGATTACATGACCCTTTGGACACTGCAACTGTCATAAAGAAGAGACAGCTGCCAAGTAGCCAGATTTTGATCCGAGGAGCGCAGCTGCAACAGTCGTTAAAGTGTGAAAAATGGCCCATAAGTCACTTTTTCCAGTGTCGTCCTAACTTTGGTCACTAAGTAAATGCTTGTAAGGCAAGGACTGCCTGTAAAATGATTTCAGGGTTTGGGAGCAACCAAAATTCACTGGCTGACCACCCCCCAAGAAGTTTTCCCAGGCTGATCCCTCTCAGCCCAACGCACCTCACAAGGTGGTTTGTTATGGGGAAAATAGCAGGAGGAACGAGGAAGTGTGCATGTATGTTTGCCGCCTTGAGTTGTTTTGATAAAAAATAAATAAAGGCAGGCTATACGTTACCAAATAACTAATAACTAAGTAACCTCCCTTGCCTTAGCTGGCTCCACAATATCCTTGCCTTTTCCCTGACCTGCCTCCCATTACTTCTGGCTGGTGCAAAACTATGGAAAGAGTGCAGAGGAGAGCAACCAGGATGATTAGGGGACTGGAGGCTAAAACATACAATGAACGGTTGCAGGAACTGGGCCTGGCTAGTTTAGGGAGGAGAAGAACCGAGGGAGGCAGGAGAGCAGTCTTCCAATATTTGAGGGGCTGCCCCAGAGAGGAGGGGGGTCAAGCTATTTTCTAAAGCACCTGAAGGCCAGACAAGGAACAATGGATGGAAACTGATCAAGGAGAGAGATTCAATCTGGAAATAAGGAGGAATTTCCGGACAGTGAGAACTATCAGCCAATAGAACAGAAGTTGCCTTCGGAAGTTGTGGGAGCATCATCACTGGAGGCTTTTAAGGAGATATTAAACTGCCATCTGTCAGAAACGATGTAGGGTTTCCTGCTTGGGCAGGGGAGGTTGGACTAGATGACCTACAAGGTCCCTTCCAACTCTATTATTATTCTGTTATTCAGAAGTTGTGGGAGCTCCATCACTGGAGGCTTTTAAGAAGAGACTGGACTGCCCTCTGTCAGAAATGGTATAGGGTCTCCTGCTTGAGGGGGCGGGGTTGGACTAGATGACCCACAAGGTCCCTTCCAACTCTGTTAATCTGTTAAAACAACCCCTATTTCACTCCATGCACAGCCTCCGATGCCCCAACGCTGCCTGTCTCATCTTGTGTCAGAAATGCAAGAACTAGAAAAAGGGGGAAGTATTAGTTTAATATATTTTTAAAAAAATTAAAAGCTTAAAGCATCGTAGCCATTGTTACACCCTGCCTGTAAAAACCACTTCTGTGCTTTTAACTTTCCTTCTCAGCTTTCCTTTCTCTCCCAGGCTTTTTTCACAAGGCTGCTGAACTCTCAAAAATGTTTACTTAAAAAATAAGCCGCTTTCAAAAAACCCAGTGAGTTAGTCCAGGCACCTCCGAAAGGCCCCGATTGGTGCTTTTAAAATACTTGGACTGGGGAAATGTTTCCGGAACCTGCCCCCCCAACTTTTTTTTTGAAATATTCAAAAGTTCCATTTTTTTCTGACGTGGCAACCAACAGCGCAGCCCCGAGCCAGTCTCTCAAAACCAGTTGGATTCTGCAGCAGCTAACAACGCCTCTTTGCCAACTGGCAGGAAAAAAACAAGATTATTATTTTTAATTTTTTTTTTTTTGCATAAGATATACCTACTCCAGCTAGCATGCTTTTTTTTTTTTTCCCTTCCCCTCCCTGAATTGCCTTCTGTCAGAACACGCAGGGAAGGTCACTTGTTTTCCTACAGGCCACCACTGACAGCAGTAGAACCAGGTGGGCTACTTAAGTTGAATTGACCTGGTGTCATTTTTCAAGATGTGGTATTATTTATGCAGCTGATTGTTTGAAGCCCAGCAATGGGAAGGCAAATGGCCCAGGAAGGAATGTGCAAAAACAGCAAATGAAGGAGGAGGAGAAAACTTTCCTGCCCAGTTTCAGCTTTGGAATATTTTTTGCAAAGGAAGCACAAAAAAATTCGAACAGAGGGTATTCAATTTTTGATTGATAATATGAATTATTATGCAATGTAATTGTAATGGAGACTATGAAATGGATGCACAAAAAAAATGTGTAAACCGACACACTGCTTGTATATTTATGAAAGAAAGTTGGATGTTTTTATGTTTTGTTTGTTTTTGTTTGTCTTTAAAAACCAATAAAACTTGTTTTATAAAAAAAAAATTTTTTCGAACTGCTGAGCAGCTAATCAATTCTTCCCAGTCCATTTTCCCTTCTTATTTCTTCCTCAGTGCAAAATCCTTCACTTCTGGGAACACTTATTCTCTCCTCACCACTTACACGATGGCGGGCTTGGACAGATTTGCTCTAATCAAATAATCTATTCTAAACAAATTATGTTCCTGTTTCTGAAGTTACTTCTGATAGACTGCCTCTAAGCTTGGAAGATCTATCCAGTGGTGGGATTCAAAAAATTTTTACTACCGGTTCTGTGGGCGTAGCTTGGTGGGTGTGGCAGGGGAAGGATACTGCAAAATCCCCCTTCCCTCCCCACCCCACTAACCTGCTTTCCAGCTCCGTTCTCCTGTTCGGGGCAACCAAAGAAGACCCAGCCGATCAGCTGGGACTCAATGGGAGGCAGAGAAAAGATGGGGTTGGTGGGTCCAGTCAGAGGTGGGG